TATTTTGGTCTCATCTGACCACATGACCTTCTCCCATGCCTCCTCTGGATCATCCAGATGGTCTTTGGCAAACTTCAGATGGGCCTGGACATGTGCTGGCTTGAGCAGAGGGACTTTGTGTGCGCTGCAGGATTTTAAGCCATGACGGTGTAGTGTGTTACTAATGGAAACCGTTGAGACTGCGGTACCAGCTCTCTTCAGGTCATTGACCAGGTCCTCCCGTGTAGTTCTAGGCTGATCCCTCACCTTTCTCAGGATCATTGATACTCCACAAGGCGAGAGCTTGCATGGAGCCCCAGTCCAAGGGAGATTGACAGTCATCTTGAATTTCTTCCATTTTCTAATAATTGCGCCTACGCTTGTTGCCTTCTCACCAAGCTGTTTGCCTATTGTCCTGTAGCCCATTCCAGCCTTGTGCAGGTCTACAATTTTGTCCCTAGTGTCCTTAGACAGCTCTTTGGTCTTGCCCATAGTGGAGAAGTTGGAGTCTGAGTGTGTGGACAGGTGTCTTTTATACAGGTAGCGAGTTCAAACAGAGGCAATGAGTGGAGGATAGGAGGGCTTCTTAAAGACAAACTAACAGGTCTGTGAGAGCCAGAATTCTTGCTGGTTGGTAGGTGATCAAATACTTATTTCATGCAATAAAATGAAAATAAATTATTTAAAAATCTAACAATGTGATTTTCTGGAATTTTTTTTGTAGATTCTGTCTCTAACAGTTGAGGTGTACCTGCAATGAAAATTACAGATCTGTCCATTCTCTCTAAGTGGGAAAACTTGAAAAATCATCAGTGTATCAAATACTTATTTTCCCCACTGTACAATTAGATTGTATTCCCAAATACACTACACCGTAAAGTTGCAGTTACATATTGAAGCAAAGCCTGAGATTGTCAGTGAATTTTTTTTCTTTTTTTTTCTCATAACTGTTTTTCTTCCTACAGGTTAGCCTCCTGACCCTAGAGAGCAGCAAGATCTCTGTAATGCTGGGTGCACTGGAGTTCAACCCAGACATCAGCCAGAAGACTCTGATTGTAGCCAGCTCTGCTCAGGAGGTTGAAGATGTGTTCAAGGTAAAACAGTTCAATGCTGTAAATCTTCAGTTTAGTCCACCAACACATTGGTAAGCCTTTGTCTTTTCATGGAGAAATCTTAACTCTTCACACTTCTAACGCTAACACTTCTTAGCCCTTTCTCTGAATATTGTATTGCAGTACAGTAGGAAAAGACAGTTGGGTTTCCTTCACCAGAAGAACAGATGTCACAAGCTTGTATAGAAAACCAAAAGACAAAGTAACCTTCTGCTATTGGCTAACAATTTCCATAATGTAAGAAAGCTAATGAATATTAAATATCTTTGACCTGGGCAGCACAGTGGTGCAGTGGTTAGCACCGTTGCGAGAAGGTTCTGGGTTCGGGCCCCACCCGGGACCTTTCTGTGTGGAGTTTGCATGTTCAGGGTGTACCCCGCCTTCGCCCGATTGCCGGCCAAAATTGGCTTATTAAATTTGGGTTATTCTATCAAACAAACCGACTTAGTAAACCAAGGCCGATTTTCTTTATATAAGAATTTTAATACTTGCAGCAAGGAAGCATTCAATACATACAGTTCAGTTGCATGAAAACAATGCTCTGAGAGGCGGTCTCAGCTGAGCCTTTTTATACAGTCAAGTTGGTACTGTGTCGGCTCCTGCTAATTTCAGGAATTAAGGAACTATGTGGACCAGCTCAAGTACGAATACATCATCTGCTCTAAACCAAAACACCTGCACGTACAAATGTATAACATCTTCTTGAGCATTCGAACAAGCCATAACAAGCATTGTTTAAAAGTGGCTCCATTTGGGGCAGATGTCAGTTGCACTGGGAGCTGGTTCCAGCTGTGGGCAGCATCATGGCTAAAGGCACTTTCACCTTGTTCAGCTGGCACTCTGGGCACCACCAGCCTGTACTCAGCAAACATGTCTCTGATGTGTTTTGGGCCCAGACTATTGAGAGACTTGTAGACAGTGAAGAGGGCCTTACACTGAATTATGTATTTAGGTGGAGGCCAGTGCACAGATTTAAGGACTGGATTGATGTGTTTTCTCTTCCTGGTGATTGTCAATGTTCCGGCAGCAGCATTTTGAATGAGTTGTTGTCTGATGGTCGTACTGGGGTGGCCAGTCAGTGCAATACAGCAGACTGCCCTACTAGATACATAAGCTGAGCTTTTCTAAATCCTGCTTAGACAGAATTTTCTCACTGTGGCTGTTTTTAAGATGCCATAATGATTTTGTTACAACTTTGATGTGGCCATTAAAATTTAGATCTTCATTAATAGTTACACCAAGATTCCTGACAACACATGTTATAGTGTCCTGGACTTAAGGTAGACTTCTTTCTTTATTTCCAAAAATAATTATCTATATCAGTGGTCCCCAACCCCCGGGCCGCGGACCGGTACCGGTCCGTGGATCAATTGGTACCGGGCCGCACAAGAAATCATTAATTATTTCCGTTTTATTTATTATCTGAGTATGAACGATCTTTTATTTTGAAAAATGACCGTATTCTCTCGGTTACATCTCGGTCACTTGAGCGCCAAAACTGGCTTACTTGTGGACATATTCAGCCTGCTCAATGAACTCAATCTGTCACTTCAGGGGAAAATGACAACTGTCTTCAAGTTGGCAGATAAAGTAGAGAGCCACTACGGGGGACAGAGAGAGAGAGAAGGAGACACTATATTGTAGTCAACTTTTTGACAGATAAAACTGTTTTGTGTTGAATTTACAGTGTAAAATCTGGTTTGTTGATAGACACTTGTGGTGTGCGCTCTCCCTGGCTATCTGTGGCATTTCATGGTGTTAAATATTCTGTTAAGCTTTGGCTGCTACCTGGCAGACAATTCTCTCCTATCCCCGAATTAATAGGACTGCCCTACCTCAGTGTATAACCTTTTTGGTGTGCCACCCAAATATTTTCTGCAGGAAGGAATTTTTTTGGGAGTTGACTAGTATCTTTTATAATCTTCAGGTTATGAAGTCAAAATCAACATTCTGCCTCAGGACCCATGAGGGCTTAACACACCAGTTTGACAATGTCATCCAGCAGTGGAGGAAAGATATCGGCCCTCGCAGTCATGTCGTTCTGGGTAATCTGAATTTTCTAGGAAACTGCTAACTGGAAAAGCATTAACAGAAAAGACATTGGAGCCTTTCAGCAAATTTCCTCCCTGAACATTAACAGTGCTGCCGTTCCTTTGGTTTTTGTTGTTTGTCCTTTGAACTATAGTGACCACCACCGGCTGTCTGGAGTGTCTTGGGATCACAGATGCATCTTGTGTCATCCATTACAGTTTCCCCACTTCTCGGAAACTGTTTGGCAACCGGCTGTTGTGTATGGCTGACAACTTCAGAAACCTCGCAGACAGAGTAAGAATAGGCAAGCCATTACTCTTGGGATAAAATATTTTGTATATATAATTACATTTATATACTGTAGCCACAGTTTCAGTATGCCTTGGATGATGATTTTTTTTTCTGATTTCTCTATCTTGGATTTCTCCCAGGATCAAACAGAGAGCCACCGTTCTCTGGCCAGATCAGTGCTGCTGATCTCTGAGAGGAACATCAGCCATATTGTTGGTGTTGTGCGTTACATGGGACGAACCAACACCCTGTTGCCTCCTGTGCTGCTGTCCTTCACCCAGGGCATTCTTGTCACCCGAGAGTACGAGAAGACCAACAGGCCTCTGTGCAGCTACCTGAAGTCCTTTGGAGTCTGCAGGTCTGTTATTGTACTTCTTCAAATAATGAAGATATTTATGGTGGGTGCAGCTCAACTCGCCCCTCCCAGCCTGTGAGGGGGTGGTCCTGTGAAAAGTATATCTACATAACCCTAACCCAAGCTACATAAAGGGAATAAAATTACAAACCTCCCACCCCAAACTGGTGTCACACCAAGACTTACTTCAAGATTGGCAGGTCTGGAATTACTGGGGGGAAAAAACCCAAACTATAAAACTTCAGTTACTAATTTGTACACCAGCATTGTGGTTTTTTTTGTTGTTGTTTTTGTTTTTTTTTTGACCATGATGTGCTTTATCCTCTGCAGAGACAGCAGTATGTGTCCCGACCGTCACAGGCTCATTTCCCAGCTGGATCAATCTGAGCTCCCTGCCTCTGGAGTTATACAGGTGAGGGCGTTCACATCTTTTTCAGCTGTGAGCTTTTGGTTCTAAATAGCCATCAGAGAGCTGTGCCTAGAGACCACTGTTTCACAGACCTTGCTCAGTAATGAAGATTGTCAACTAAAAAAAAAGTCGATTCATTGGACAAAAAAAACAAAGATTAGCTTGCGTCTTGCTCTGCTCATGCTGGTTCTGAGTTTATAATAATCACATTTGATCTCACATCAGTGTTTTTCTAGCCCTTCTAGAGATGTGAAGGCCCAAAAAGTATTGATTTATACTACAAAGTGTTTTAATAAATTAACCATAATTACCATCTGATTGTACAACATAATCCACAAGTACAGTGTGGTAAATATTGACCTCTGCTGTGTCTCAGGTTGTGCCTCTATATGTGAAGACAGCATCACTGTTGTACGGTCATATCATCGGCAAAGATGATGGTGGGTTTCACATCATGACATCGGAAATGGCATCTTACTACGCCGACAGGAAACCAGGAGCCAAAGAGATGCTGGTGGGAGGCCTATATGCTGTGGAGGAGGATGACGTCTTCCACAGGTCTGGCATTATTATACAACCTCTAGGTAGTCACACTGGACAGGGCTCCAGACTGCAATCATTTAGTTGCTTTTTGTGATTTATTTTTTAGCAACAGTGTGGCTAAATTTTATAGCTAGGTGCACCAGTACAACTTGCAAATATACCCGTTTTTTTACTTATTTATTTATTTATTTATTTAATCATTGTCATATATATTGAAACCCCAGGCAGGAGCGCAAATTGGTGTGTGTTTGCAGCTATCGTGAAGCTATGATGTTCACAACATGATTCTGTGCAGGATGTTATCTATCCCGAGTCCAGTTCACAAGCAGGCTACTCGCACTCTTAATGATGATGATCACTTTATTTTGGCCTAGTATGTACACAAATTAGGAATTTGTCTCCGGTACAGAACCAAGTCAGCCATCTGCGGCGTCAACTCGTGTACACACACACACACACACACACAAACAAACAGCAATGGCGGCGCTGTCCCTGCAGGGTGCTGCTCTGGCCATTGGGGGCACCTGGGGTTCAGTGTCTTGCCCCAGGACATTTCGACATGTGGACTGCAGGCACCGCGAATTGAACCTCCAACCTCTTAGCTGGGAGACGACCTGAGCCCTAGCCACCCTCTTAGCCCTTTAGTGACAATGAAATGAACTTTGATAATTATTATTATTTTGTTTTGTTCCAAAAGAAAATTCAGACCCTTCAGTGCCACTATAGGAGCCAGCAGGTGAGCATGGGGACAGAGATGGGGGTCAGAGAGACAGTGACCATCAAGCAGTACTTCTAATTGTGACTTTGTCTTTTAAAATAAATTAGCACATTATTTCTGTAAATTCTGTTAGCAAGTCATTTATCATTAATGACAGATCCTGCCCTGCTGGATCAAATTTTCAGGCTAAAACACTTATTTTAGCACTTGAACTTATCGTACTTTTGGCATCATTATGGGTATATCGCGATTCATTTCTTAAGTAAATGTATGCATTGTCACTGTGCTTCTCGACAGGGTGAAGATTCTCCCTGTTCCCGACAGACATGACGGTCTGTTTTTCAGGGTTCAGTTTATTGACGTGGGAAAGGAGCAGGTGCTGAAGTCCTGCCAGATCCTCGAGCTGCCAGAGCAGTTCCACTCACTGCCCAGCCAGGCTGTGGAAATGATCATCTGCCACGTCAAACCGGTCAATGCTGAGAAGAACTGGCACCCCAAGGTCCCTCCTTCAGTTCACTTTGCTTTCACATTTCCACTGTCAGTTTACTTCCATTTAAGCATTTATCTCAAGTACAAATAGGTCTGCAGATATGAAAATAAACTCCAGAATGAAACAATTCAGGTAGAAGCTACAAATGAGTGGACTCCACAGAGCACAACTGAGCTGCAAGGACAGAGAGGAGAGCAGCATGGGCTGGCCCGGTGGCACCTGTTAGCTAGTTGGACCACAGCAGCATGGCAGTCCTCTGCTGTGAGGCTGTAGGGGTCACACATGTTGGCACAGCTTAAAAAGAATGTCTGTGGTGGCCATGTCACCCGACGATTTTTATCCTGCAGGTGACCAGAACCATCGGGCAGAAGATCAGAGGTCTGGTGCACCAAGCCACGGCAGTTCTTAGTCTGGGAAACACAGTTTTTGTTGATCCCATGGTATGTTTTCACCTATCTGCCATCCTACAGTTACTGTGTTATGAGGCAATACCAGGTTTACAGGGTTTTCTCGTTGGGCTGTCCACTGTTAGGTTCTCCAATCAAAAAGTAGCAGCAAAATTAAACAAATTCAGTCTGTTATAAACATTAGGGTGAACTCTGGACTGTTTGACTACTGTGGGCACCAGTAAAGTTGGTTATTTCCTGTTTTTTGGAGGTCCGGGTTAGGCAAGTCCCAGGTTTGAAAACCGTTATTAATGAATACAACATCCAGTCTGAGATCCTCAAGACTGGGATGGCAGTCCCCAACCCAGACCATGTGGCTTTGCTCAGAGCGCTGTGGCAGGAGGAGCCCAGCAGCGGTACTGAGGCTGTTCACATTTTTGGGTGAGGTGACGATTCAGCTGATCTATTATTATTATTATTACGCTGCTGCTTCTTCTTCTTCGTCTTCGTCTTCTTCGTCTTGCTGTTCCCGTTAGGGGTCACCACAGCGAATCATCTGTTTCTACCTAACTCTATCCTCGGCATCCTCTATTCTCACCCCAATTAACTTCATGTCCTCTTGCCTGGCAGGTCCATCTCCAACATCCTTCTACCAATATAACCACTATCCCTCCTCTGCACATGTCCAAACCATCTCAATCTGGCCTCTCTGACCTTGTCCCCAAAACAGCCGACCTGAGCTGTCCCTCTGATGTGCTCATTCCTAATCCTGTCCATCCTGGTCACTCCTAAAGAGAACCTCAACTGGGACAGGGAATTGCAAAAGCAGGTGTAAAATTTGCAGCCCTGCTATCACTATGGTGCATGTTAATCATCTGATATCTTGTTGGAGTTAAGAACATGTCTGAGGAAGGAGAGGGGGTTTGTAAATTGCTTGCTCACCAGAGGAGAATATGAAGGTTTCAGGTCAAACTGTGCTTCAGTTACTGAACAAAATACAAGATGATTTAACTGGCAGAAGACTGCAATTGCTGTTCCAAAGTATGTTTGTTGATTTATTCAGCCATATTAAAGTTCAGTTACTGTAAACTTTCTTCCACACTTCTTCTCGATCCACACTTGCACAATAGCCTACAAGCACCAGATCTTAAGTGGAGGTGTATTCAAATTAACACAGCTCTGGCTGTGTGGTCATTTATCTCACAGGTGCTGGTAAATATGCCACTAAAGTGAAAAACTGCAGCATCGCAATAATTTGCACATCTGATGTTAATTTGCAACAGGTTTAGTTAATATTCCCCAAGACCTTCTCTTTTTGGCTGCTCTGTTTTTGATCAGTGCCTTCCATCATTTTATCATTTCTATCTGCTCTGCTTCACTTTTTGCTCATTTTAGCCTCTTTTATCTTGACTGTATTCATTTGTTTTCCATTTCTTACCCCATACTTTAATTCCAATGTCTCTTGTTTTTTTTTTTTAAATCTCCTCCCTCAGCTCCTGAGCAGACCCGATGCCTTTCTGTGCGGAGTTTCCATGTTCTCCCTGTGCCTGCGTGGGTTCTCTCCAGGTACACCAGCTTCCTCCCACAGTCAAAAGACATGCAGCTTAGGTTGATTAGCAACTCTGAATGTTAGGAGTATGCATATGCGTGGTGTATCACAGTAAAATTACATTATCAAGTGAATAAAGAACTAGCTCATATCAGAGTGCTGCCTCTCTTTTACATACTGTACACACACACACACACACACACACACGGATAGATACTATTCTTATTTTCTCCAAAAAACAACCATGCACTCTGGCTAATGTGATTGTCAGACCCCCTCTCTCTGTTTCTCCTCTTTCTTTCACTTGTATCTGATGGTGTCTTTATTATCAACAGGGAAGAAATATTTTTCATTATTATTACCACCATGAGAAAAGGAGACAGGGTTTAAGAGATAAACTGTAAAAATAAAATAGAAGAAAGGGGGCAGGTTGAGTGAGACCAGCAGTACAAATTTATGATTTTGTGAAAAAAATTTGAGAAAACTGTCATTAATTACAGTAATGAGACATCTTATGAGGTCAATGGTCAGCAGGTGCTTTCAGACCAAACTTAGTTCTGGGGACTACCACACTACCAGGGTAGCTCCCTTAAGAACTACATACTCATATGTAAACAGAGTAGCTACCCTGGAGTAGGATCAAAACAGTGTTCTAAGAAGTGCTATCACTCTCAGATCCTGCAGTGTGTTTACACAAAAAGGGGTACTTTGTCCATTACTTTTATGAACTATGAAAACGTTCTTCTGGTCCAAAGACATTTAATGGAGTGGTATGAGTGCCTACCTGGACCTGAAATTAGCCAGCTGAATTTTTTTTTTTTTTTATTTGATTTGATTTATTCTGTCAAGCATGTAAAGACAGTTATGTCAACACATAATTTTACACATATCCAGCAAATGCTAATCCAATATCAATTTGCTTATTATACCTAATACATGCTTGAATGGAGTAGGAAGAAGTCAGACTTATCCAGTCCTACCCCATGACATCATCTTACCATCATTGGTTTGCAAGCAGTATCTCTACATAAATAATTATCTTTTACACCACACAAGTAATATACTAAAGAATTATTACAAAGTGTTAACATTCATACACCACACCCACAATGTTCCATCTGGTTAATCATTAAGCCTGTTCTTGCATATATCTTGATTGACACATACCTTTATATTTATGTTTAAACT